AGCCCGGCACTGCGGCCGTTCTCCTGGCGCATTCGGTCCCTCATTCCCCGTCGGGGCAGCCGTGTGAACACCGGCGCTCAGCATGGCCAGCCTGACTGCGACTGCCTCTGCAGGGCCCGGAGGGATCCCCAGAGCGCCCGTCTCCGGCTCCGCTTTGGGCCTTTCCTCTGCAGTGGGCCCTGCAGGCTCTGGGGCTTCCCTCCGTGCCTGGACGTGTCCTGCACAGGGGCCACCTTGTCTGGCTGTGAAACTCTCAGCTTAACCAAGGGTCACTTCTCTTTTATCAGCATCTCTTTCCTACAAAATTGCTCTGTTTGCTCTTCGTGCCTCTTGTCTTCAGGTTTGCAGTGTCCTCCAGCCCTCAAGCCAATTTCGTGTGTTTTTTCTTTGTGTTCTGTGCGATTTTCCTCCTCAGATATGGAGCAGGGCTCCCCCATAGCCAAGTGCCCTTAGACCGTGTACGTTCACGTGGTCCCTCGTGCGAGAGGCCGTTGTGCTGGTGGCCTCGGGCGGGCAGGTCGCAGCGGTCCCCGGAGAGGAGCCCGTCCCGTGCCAGCGCAGTCTCACTGCGGTTCCACACCCAGAACCCCCAGGAAGCAGGAAAATCGGCTACGGGTCATTCTCCCGGGTGAATCCAGGCTGTTCTGCGCATCCCGTGGCAGGACTAGCCCCAGGACTAGCCCCACGTCGAGCTCTGCTGCGCACGCTCATGTTCCCGCGAGGGTCCTCGCTCCCTGCTGCGTGAGGTGTCTCAGCAGTCGCGTATTAAACCAGGCCTAAAGGCTGAACAGCTGTTGCAGTTCCTGACCAGGGCTGGTTTGTAGTTATTTGACATCCCAGTGAATAAGGGAAAAAAGTCACCCCTGGCTCACGGGAAGCTTCAGAGATTTTCCCTGCTGCTCTGGCCTTGCAGCGGCTTTTCCCTCTTGCAGAATGGTGTTTAACGCCAGGGGAGGCCAGTGCTGCCCCTGCAGAGCCCTGTCCAGGCCAACACACCTGACCTGCTGCCCCTGCCTGTGTCCGACCAGGAGTCCTGGCTGCTGCGGCCCCAGCTCCATGGGCAGCTGAGAGGGCCCCAAGCCAGGGAGCAGCGACAGGCACCGGCAGCGCTCGTGGAGCCGGGATTTTGCTCCGGGATTCTTCGCTCTGGCTTTCCTCTATTCTGGGATAGAATTGCATGCTCTTGTGAAGCTCTTCTCCGTAGCCGGGTGTCTTCAAACACAGTTACTGCCTCAACCTCGTAGGAATATTCTTTTTTTAGGTTGGATTGGCAAAGGTTGTGTCACGTCTTGAGTCGCTGTATTTGTTCATAACTAGGGCGTGCGTGCAGGTAGCATAAATAGGCTTGCGTATATGTACGTATATATCTTCCACATATAATTATTTAATTGCTACCAGAGGGGATCTCTGGAAATAAAAACAAGGCGAAGATGAAATACCATGCAAAAGAATAGCAAAGATGAAATGTCGTATCTCTCAGTAAAAAACTGATAAAACTCCAGACTTTGCTTTTAATGTATTCCCCGAGAAAAATATTTATCTCTAATATTTACTAAAAGCTCTCTCATGTGATTTGGATGCAAAATTTCCAGGGGCATGAGCTTTTAAAGATGATTTAATTTTAATATTTTCAAAATGCGTATGTGAATTGCATAAAATACATGGGGTTTGCAGCTTTATAAAAACACATGCATAATGCTGCTGCATAGATTAGGTTAATGACCCAGCACAGATCCCTAGAAATGCCAGGCTTGTGTAAAATACGTGTGTGTGTGCGCATGTATATATAGATACACGCTCACATTTTGTGTAAGGGATGTATGTAAGTGTACATAAATGCAGGCAAGGCGCGAGGACGCTTCGTTGCAGCACGGCTCCGCGGGGCCGTTCCCCTGTCGCCGCCGGCCCCGGGGACGGCGCCTTTTCCAAGCTGATGTTGGAAACGGGGATTGAATACACATCAGTTATTCCCTGGATTCAGCACACGTGGTTTTGGTGCATACCGTACATTTAGAGCAATACTGAGGCTGGAGGGCACTTCAGTTTCATAAATTAAAAGTAAATTTTGACATGCGACATGGGCGCGTGTTGCATTTTATATGATGTTGTTGGTATTAGAAACAAACCAGGAACCCCGCTGCCGGAAGGTGTTTCCCATCCTCTCCTGGCACACGCGAGGCTCCGATACCCCTGTCCAAGCCGCGGTGCCTCGGGGCGATCCCTCGGGAAGCGGGAGGGGAGCAGGACTGTTCCGATGGCAGATGGAGCGGCCGTGCTCTCCGGAGCTGCCTTTTGCACCAGCAGTGACGTCTGTAAAGGAATGAGCCCCTCTCTAAGCGCCCTCTCCGCTGTGTCCTTGCAGCAAAGCCCTTTGAGAGCGGGCAGTACCTGGACATCTACGGCATCACCAGGGACCAGGCCGGCGAGTACGAATGCAGTGCCGAAAACGATGTCTCCGTCCCCGACGTGAAGAAAGTGAAAGTCACAGTAAACTGTAAGTGCTGTCGCTTCTCGGGGCTGAACGCGGTCGCTGAGCGCGAGGAGCAGGGCTGGTGCAGGGGGCTGCGGCCGCTCCAGCCCCACGTCTCCCTGTGTGGACAAGGTTAAGGTTCACATCTGCCCCCGGGCAGGACTGGACAGTAACGATGCGCACGTTCTCCTGTGTTTTGCTCTGGTGTGTTTAAACCAGGCCATTTCACTGGGTTGTGTACTTGTGTACCTGCTGGGGTTTTTTGGAGTAATTATCCAAGTAATTTCCAAGCAGTGTTGTGGTCAACAGGCTATAATGGGTCTGATTTAGTTTGCTAAGGTTGTACAACAGTCTAAAGAAAAGAGACACTTTCTGAAACATGTTTAGGTGATTCGGTTGTAACCTATCCCTCTGGAAATATTAATTACCAGCAGTAGAAACAGCAAGCTGGTTCATGCTGTCATCCTAGCACAGAGACAAGAAAAGGCTGTGCTAAAATGCGGTTCCTAACGACGTGTGCTGCTCTGTTGGAGGTCGCTGGTCCCCGATGCTCCGGGCCTCCTCGGAGGCCTTTTCCTTAAGTTCCTGTGGAACTTTTGGTGCTTCAGCTTGTGGCCATTTCCTCTAGTCCTATCAGTGGCCACCAGTGAAAAGAAGCCAGCACCATCCTCTGCACTCCCTCCCTTGAGGTACTTATAGACACTGATTAGATCCCCTCTCAGCCTTCTCTTCTCCAGCCTCTCCTCGTAGGGCAGATGTTCCAGTGTGCCGCTCCGTGCCACACAGCTCTCAGCTCGTGCCTCGTTCAGCGCTGCCCTGCACCGAGCAGGATGAGCCCTGCAATGAGGTGGTCCTGCGGGACAGCGTGAGGGTGCTCGTTCAGAGTACTGCACCACGACAGCTTACATGGGTACGGTGTGATCCAGTGTTACCACTCCATCTTATTAGCGTTTTCCGTTCTATTCTTACACGGCAAATGCGGATTCCTGGCTGACAGTCTGCACCCCCTGCCCCGAGCTCAGAGCACGGTGCTGGTGCGGGCTGGCAGGATGTCCATGTCCCTGCCGGGCGCTCCGCTCCTCGCGGTGCTTCCCGGCTCCTCGGCCGTGCTGCGCTCGTGCCGCGCTCGCCCCAGCTCACGGCGAGCCAGCAGCTCCTGAAACGGCCCTCGCGAACACGCCGGCCGCGCGGTCTGCCCGTGTCCCTCGTCCCCGCTGAGGACCGCGTCCCCCTGCCACGCTCAGCCCTCCGGACACGGCTGGCTGCCGCCTGCCGGGAGCCTGCGCGCCTCCTCGCGGGGAGCC